TGTTGTTTTCTATTTGATATATAATAAATAGATACTATACAGGAGGATAGTGAGTTCATATTTACTTAGATCTAGGTTCTTCAAACATATGACTATATTTGTTTATATACTATTTATGATCCTCAAACCTAGGAGGTCCTGCTCCTATAGGTTTAGGTTCTAGCTGGCGAAAGACTGGTGTATTGTTAACGTAGTATAATGGATAGGGAGTTGGAGGAAGACCATGTATATGATCATCTCTTGGTGCATCGTATTTTGAAGGTACTTTTCTATAATTAGGGTTACGTACTCATTGACTTGTATCAAGATGAGCCTTGTAATCATCCATTGTACTATTTCTTCCACCATTAGAACTACTTTCTCCACGACTAGAACTACTTTGGCCATGACCAGAATTAAACACTAAAATTGTAAGTGTAGTACCGAAAATAAAACATCCTAAAATTAATACGCCACTTAATTTAAATAAATTAGTAATACAAGATTCTCATATTAATAATATATTTTCTAAATCTAGAGGTATACCTGCACAATCTATATTAAGTGGTTCTACTACGGGAATACCCAGACAGTCTGTATTAAGCGGTTCTACTATGGGAATACCCAGACAGTCTATATTCTGTGATTCTTCCTTCAGTATACCTAGGCAATCTAGAGTATTACCCTTTAATCAGTAAATACTTTTCTTCAATAATAACATACATCCAAACGATAATTATTTTAGAGCTTAAACACTTCTCACCTACGCACACGCGTTTCATGGCACAAAAATCAGGATAAATCTACTACATTTTGCTCTATTATACGCAAGACAGCGCAGGAATATTGAATATTACATTGTTCATAGAATAATCTAATAAATTGATTATAATTCCAGGATATACACCCAATACTACTGTAAATAGAACTAATATAAATAATAACAAGAATTCTCTTTTATTTAGATCTACTAACCCGAATTGGATTAATTTAGTAAATGATCCTCCAAAAGATATTCTATTATACATATATATTGTATAAGCAGCAGAGAATATAATAGAAGTTGCGGCTAAAACTCCTAAGATAGGTAATCTTTCTATAATTCCGTAAAGTGACATAAATTCACCTATAAAATTTAAAGTTAAAGGAGCACCACAATTACCTAAAGCTAATATAAAGAATAATATAACAAATATAGGCATTAGTTGAGCCACACCTCTATAGTAATATAATACTCTAGTATGAGTTCTATCATAAAGGATACCACCAGCACATATAAATAAACCACTAGAAACGAATCCGTGTGCTAAACCTAATATAATACTTCCTTGTAATCCTTGTATAGTATTACTAAATACTCCTATTAAATATACAGCAGCATGACAAACAGAACTGTAGGCAATTAATTCTTTAATATCTGTAGTTCTTATTGTACTTACACTAGCATATAAAATTGTTATTACACTTATAGTATATACTATAAAAGTATAATCTAAAGAAGCTTGAGGTAATATAGGTAATATTAATCTAAATACCCCATATAAACTTAATTTTAAAACAATTCCAGCTAATACTATACTTCCACCTAAGGGTGATTCAACATGAGCTTTTAATAGTCAATTATTTAAGAAAATTGTAGGAGTTTTTACTGCAAAAGCTATAAATATTCCTATAAATAAGAATATCTGAACTTTATAATCAAATCCTAATTGGAATAATACATCAAAATCTGTACTACCCATAATAGATGATGTACTTAATATAGATAATAATAAAAATAAAGAACCTCATAATGTATATAAAAATAAATAGTAACTAGCACTAACTTTATTATCAGATCCAAATATCCCTATTAATAAAAACAGAGGGGGTAATATACTTTCAAAAAATATATAAAACAACATAATATCTGCAGCCATAAATACAATTAATAATAAACTTTCTAATAGTAACATTACAATTAAATATGATTTTACATTTTCTTTTATAGAATTTCAATTAGATAATAATGCAATAGGCATTATTATTGTAGTTAATAATACAAAATAAATAGAAATACCATCTACTCCTAAATATAAATCAAAATACTGAGTATTATAATGTTCTTGTACAAATTGAAAATGGTTTGTACTATTATGAAATAGTATAAATATAAATAATGAAATAATAAAATTTATTACACTAACAGCTAATGAAATTAGTTTAGCATAATAATCATGTCGATAAACGGTTATACTAGCGACACCAACTACCCCTACTATAGGTAAACCAATCAAATTTGATAATAACATACATCCAAACGATAATTATTTTAGAGCTTAAACACTTCTCACCTATGCACACGCGTTTCATGGCACAAAAATCGGGATAAATCTACTACATTTTGCTATAGTATAACAAGATGCAAAATCGCGCAGTTTACTACGTAGTATTCACTACGAAGTATATCACTGCTGTTTATTTCATAGTAGCCAGCCAATCAGTCTACAGACGTTGGCTATAAATAAAGCTAAGAAATAAAGCTATTAATTATATTAAGTTAATATTAATAAAAAATACACCAAAAATGTATAATATTGAAGGAATTAAAAAGATAAATCCAAATAATATAGGTAATAATACAGTTCAACAGAAAGACATTAACTGGTCAAAACGTATTCTAGGGAAAGAAGCTCTAACTCATATAAATACAAAAACCATAGCAGAACTTTTTATACCTAAAGTTAAACTAGATAATAATCCATTAAATGAAGGACTATTTAAAAATTTTTCTCTAATTAATGTATAATCATTTTCTGCTCCACTTCCTAAGTAATAAAAATTATACAGTAAATAAGAATAATCGAAATCAATTAAATATCCCCCTAAAAATAAAATACTTGTAAAAATACACATTAATACAATACTAGCATATTCAGCTAGGAAAAAGAAAACAAAAATAACAGCTGCGTGTTCTGTCATAAACCCACTAACTAATTCAGATTCCAATAATTAAGGATATATTGGCTAAAATCTATACATATTTTTGTATACGACGACTAATTTATTATTTAAATACATCCTTACTTCGCAGGCAGAAGTTGGCGACTACTGTAACTTTGGATATATTTAAATAATTAGCTAGTTCTACGTCATTAGCAAACTTTTGGATAAGATTCTTTTCGAAATCGAAAATACCTACACCATTTAAATATTTATTATAAGATTAGGCACAATATATCCTAATTTTTATAATATTAATCTTATACTCTCATATAAGTCTGGACTATATCATATTTAATAATAAATATTAAATGATCACCTTTAGTCTCTGAAGATTCAACTATAAAAGTTGCTTCCCTGCTGATTTGTCTAATTAAGACTGTTCCAGCAATTTGTGATCTTTATGGAGGCCAAATCTATATAGTAGCCTCTGCTAAATCAAAAGGGGCTCTATTTGTTTCTGCTACAGAACCTATAAAAAATATTATTAATATACAAAATAAAGGTAAAGCTAATCAAGTGATTTTTTGGAATTGAACATTTACATTTAAATTTAGACTATTAGTTATTAATATAATAATTAATAATACAGAACTTAAAACTAATTCATAACTTATTAATTGGGCAGTACTTCGAAGAGATCCTAAGAAAGCATATTTACTATTAGCACTTCATCCTGCTAATAATATACCATAAGTGGCTAAAGAAGATACAGCTAACATAAATAAAATACCTAATTCCATATCTCCTAATGATAAACCAGGACCGTATGGAATTACGGCATAACCTAGTAAAGCAAAAATTAAAGTTACTATTGGACCTAAAAAGAATAATATAATATTAGCTTGTGTAGGTGCAACATATTCTTTTAATATTAATTTTAATGCATCCGCAAATGCTTGTAATAAACCATAATAACCTACTGCATTAGGCCCTAATCTTCTTTGCATACTTGCCATAGTTTTTCTTTCAGCCACTGTAACATAAGCTACAACTAAAAGAGCAGGCAACATAAGTATTATTGTTTCAATAATAGATATAAGCGTTATAGAATTTCTCATTTATTTTTTGTAATAATTATTAGCTTAAATTTCATTTATATAAATTCCTCTTTATATTATATAAAATTAATAATACCAATTACGTAATGTCTATATACATAGGCACAAGCTCTACGAAGTAGCCAGCACTAATATTTATAATTAATATTATACTTAGTATTAATGCTATACATTAATATAAAGTTTATTCAGCATGGTATAGCACTAGCGTGTATATGTATGAAACATAGTTTCACACAATCACTACGCTTATAATAAATAAATACTAGCACTAACTACTGTGCTATATTTTTAGGATTAAATTTTATATATTCAGCAAAAAAACTACCAGTAATTAAATATATTTATAATTAATATGTAATTTATTATGGAGGTTCAATCTCACCCTAGACTCGAACTAGGATACAAATATTAGAAGTATTTTGCTCTACCATTTGAGCTAATAAGACTTACCCTAAGAATAAATAAAGAATACTTCTGCCATCCTTACTTCTGTTTACGAAGTAGGGATGAGGGGCTCGTTTCTCTCTATGAAATATCTCTCGTTTATTCTTAGTTAACATTACTTAAACTAGATTCATAAAAATCTTTTTATATGAAATCAGTTATAACGCAGGGTTAGCGCTAGTAAGCTATAAATTTGTACATAAACAATATTTATATATAGCGCAAGCTAGCAAGTGACAAAATAATAATATTTATGTTATCATCAAACTAGCGTTATATTTATATTATAAGTATATTACTTTGTTTAGGTAAACTTACAAATGCATGAGGTTTAGGTGGACTTGTTAATCCTCATTCTAAACTATTATAACATCTGTTTAAGTTAGCTTGTAAAATATCAGTATAGAAAGCAGGAGTCATTCAAGGGTTTCTATCAGATACTTTACCTTCTACTAATTGTAAGTATATAATATATATAAATAATGCAGCAGAAACTACACTAACTATTGATCCAAGACTACTTACTAAATTTCAACCTGCAAAAGCATCAGGATAATCACTTATTCTTCTTGGCATACCTTGTAAACCTAAGAAATGTTGAGGGAAGAATGTTAAATTAACCCCTATGAATAATAATCAGAATTGTAATTTAGCTAAGAAATGATTATAATTGAAACCTATTATTTTAGGTACTCAGAAATATCATCCGGCAAACATAGCAAATACAGCTCCCATACTTAAAACATAGTGAAAATGAGCTACTACATAATAAGTATCATGGAAAGCTATATCTATAGAAGCATTAGCTATTACTACACCACTTACATCATTTTTTTACGGACTATTTTTTCTCTATGTAAATACATAATGAGGACCACGTATAGTCTCTGAAGATCCTACTAAGAAAATCAGTTCTTTTCTTTTTGTTTCGTTTCGTTTCCTGCTAATTATTCTTTTATACATTAAATTAAAATTTACTGTTTTAATTTAATCAAACAAATTTCCTAGCATATAGTGGTCTTTAGGGCCAAGCATCATTTCTGGAACCCTCCTATTGTAAACATAAACACAAAACCTAATGCTCATATCATAGGTGGTGTCATTCTTATAGATCCACCGTAAGCTGTAGCTAATCAAGAGAATATTTTAATACCAGTAGGTACAGCTATAATTAAAGTAGCTGCTGTGAAATAAGCTCTTGTGTCTACATCTAAACCTACAACATACATATGATGACTTCATACAATAAATCCTAAGATTCCTATAGACATCATAGCATAAACCATTCCAATATAACCAAAAATAGGTTTACTTGAACTTGTAGATATAACAGTACTAATTATACCAAAACCTGGTATAATTAAAATATAACAAAATTTTGATTAATCTAATAGTCTTAAGATCTATTAAAATTAATACTCAAGAACTTTCGTCCTTGTTAGGACTCTATCTTATACTGAATTTCTGTTCATCGAATTTTTTAAATTCATAATTTTATCTATACCTGCCTCAGTTAAATGATGCTTTTCTTGGATTAATATATATGCTTTTCTTCATTTAAGATAATTGTTATGTTTACTAGATTGTAGATGAAATTTATCAAAATAATTAATTACATTACGAGCAGAACCAAAACTAGTTGAACCGTAATAATATGTATTTTGACTTTCTCTGTAACCTATATTTCCCCCAAATAAATTTTTTATAAGGATTAACATATCTTTATCTTTCTGTGCGTAGCAAGCAATTTGAAAATTTAGAGCTAGCGCCCTAATTTCAGGTTTGGGTCTATTACTTTTATTAATAATTTTGATTTGGAAACTAGCATCTGCATCCGAAAATCCTGCAATTCAATGATTATCTAAAGAATTAGAATCATTTATTTTAAATTCTATATTCTCTTTTACGTATCTAGGATGTACTAATACATTAGTAAGAACTTGATTAAATTTATTCCTAGTTCTTAATTTTCCATTTACTAAATTAAGAACTTTAAGTATACCATCCTTACTTGAAATAATAAACAAATAAGCATTTTTGTCTTTCACTTGTTTAACATTACCGAAGCCTATTACACTTTTTACATAATATGCTAGTTGAACATCAGGAGAACTAAAAACAATTATTAATTGTTGTTGAGAACTAAAGTGCCCATCTCCATCTATTAATCCTGCTAGATAATGTCCAAACATTTCATCATTTAACGGTTTTAGATGTGTAGATGTATGAACAGAAATATTTTTTATATTTTCAGTATTGTTGCGTATAGTCTCTGAGGTTCCACTTTTTAAAGTGTTACCTGCTGATTGACTTCATTGTTTTAACTTTTTTACTGTATCTATAAAGAGGGAGTATTTAAAACTTGATAGCGAAGTGTTTCCAGCATACAGCAACATTATGAGGCTTATAAATTTAACCTCAGGATGACCGAAGAATCAGAAAAGATGTTGGAATAATATAGGATCACCCCCTCCGGCTACTTCAAAGAATGAAGTATTAAAGTTTCTATCTGTTAATACCATAGTAATAGCACCAGCTAAAACAGGTAATGTTAATAATAATAATACAGCTGTTATAATTACTGCTCACCCAAATAAAGTTAATTTATGTAATTTAACTCCAGGTGTTCTCATATTTATAACAGTAGTTATAAAGTTTATAGCTCCTAATAAACTACTTACCCCTGTTAAATGTAAAGTAAAAATAGCTAAATCTACACTAGGTCCACTGTGACTTTGTATATTTGCTAAAGGTGGGTATAGAGTTCATCCTGTACCTGCTCCACCTTCAATAACTGCAGAGAATACTAACAATACTAAACTAGGTGGTAATAATCAGAAACTTATATTATTAAGTCTAGGGAATGCCATATCAGGTCCCCCTACCATTAAAGGCATTAAAAAATTACCAAAACCTCCAATTAATGCAGGCATAACCATGAAGAATATCATTAATATAGCATGTGCTGTAATTATACTATTATATAATTGGTTGTTTGAAATAAATTGAACCCCTGGTCCACTAAGTTCTAATCTTATTAATACTGAAAAAGCAGTACCTAATAATCCTGAAAATAAGGCAAAAATTAAATATAAAGTACCGATATCTTTAGCATTAGTAGAATAAAATCATCTTTCAAATCCCATAGAGATTTGAGATCTTAATGAGGTATTTCTGTCCGTATCCGTGTCTGTATTATTGACCAAAATCTAAAAAAATATAGAAGAGAATATATAAATAAGAATAGATTTAATAAAATTCTAGTGCCTTATATACAAAGTAACGCTAGAAATTTATTAATAATCTTAATAAATATTATTATAAAAAAAAAATAATTTAAGTTAAGCTCTAAAGCTAGTACCACTTCACAAATAGCGTCTACACGGTGGTGATGTAAAACGTAATTTCGCACACATACACAGGCTAGCCTTATATATATAAGGCTATGAATTTATATATTCTCTTCTTATAACATTAGAAATTTTTATTTAATTTAATTTTTAATTATACTATATATTTAAATTAAAATAGTAAAATATTATTTATTATTATAATAAGAAACTAAAGATTATGGAGGAATCGAACCTCATACTGACGATTTGCAATCATAGTGTAAAAGCCATTTACAACATAATCTTTACTTTACTGCTTTATTTAAGCAGTAAAGTAGTGCTTATTTCACAGAAGCTAATCTATGAAACAAATAATTTAGTCTATTTCATAGCTACCATGACAGCTCGCTATGAAATACTCAATTTTATTAAGGCGCTAATCCCAAATATAAAGGTTTAATCTTTGGTTGCTTCGCCTGGAGTTACTCCATGACGTCTATATATATTTTCTAGTTCTTCTTTAGTCATAGTAAAATTAACTTTAAAGTTAGGAATTATAGGCTTACCTATTTGTTCATACTCTTGTTGACTAATAGCCATTCCCAAAAACATATTTTGTGCAATATGCATATCATCGCGTGTCAAGAGACTTCCTTTACTTGTTTCTACAAGATAAAGAACTTTAATATATGAAAGAGTATCAAAATTAGCTTTATCTAAAAAATAATGTGGATCTTTTTCTTTAATCCTTAACATACAATCATACGCCTTTTGACGAGGCTTATGGTTAATTTCTTCAGATTCTTTAAGTTCTTTTTTATAATTATCTATCATAGTATTCAATTCTCTTTCTCTATCATTATTTTCTTTACTCTTAGAAGATTCATCATTATTATCATAATCCTCTTCATCACAATATAAAGGGCTAATAAAACTTTCAACCAGCCCAAGAAAAATAAATTTAAAAATTATAAGAATAGAACCTGCAATAATAGAAGATAAAAAAGTACCTAAAAATTCAGTGTCTAAATATCTATACACGATAAAATAAACTAACTTAAATAAAATCATATAACTAAATGCTCTTATTATATTTTTAAAGGTAAAAAACTTTAAAATTTTTTTTATGCAGACAAAGCCTAGCAAGTAACGTTTTAACATTTTTTTTTATTAATTTTTTTTTTAGATCCCCTAGGGGATTATACATTTGGGTTTTGTGTCTTCTTTGTATTATTTAGAAAATTAAAATAAAAATAGAGAAAAAATTATATCGATAAATATCTATGCTTACTTCTGTTTCTAGTAAAAACTAAAAAGGATTTTATAGAAGCACAGCCAGAAAGATTATGATAACTATCTATAGTTTCAACACGCCCTCATTTATTTTGAATGTAGCCTAAGCCTTTTTTGTGCGTACTGCGTACGCATTCATCCTTTATGTTCTCAATATTTTTCATACTCAACTGATCTTTTGACTTCCACCGAGCTCCTTGGAGGCACTATGAAATACCCCTTCGCTTTATAGCTATACTGCCAATGTTACCTCTAGAAGCCGGCTTCCCTGCTAAAGTTAGTACTTTTTTAAAGAACTTCCACTTAAATTTAAATCAACTAAAGTATTTTCTATTATACTAATTAAAGGTGTTATAATTAAGAAATGTGCAAAATATAATGCTGTACTTATTTGTCCAAACTCTATAAATGGAGTTTCAACATGTTTAGCCCCTAACTGCATTAAAATTAAGAAATTAGTAACAAAAATATAGAAAGCTATTTTACTTATAGGTCTAAATTGTAAACCTTTAGTTCTACCTAAATCTGTAACAGGTAATATCATGATGATTAAGATAGCAAATAACATTGCAACAACTCCTAATAATTTATTAGGGATAGATCTTAATATAGCATAGAATGGTAATAAATATCATTCAGGCACTATAGCTGCTGGTGTTTGCATAGGGTTAGCTGGAATATAGTTATCACTATCTCCTAAAACATTAGGCATAAAGAACACAAATATACTTAAAACATAGAAGAAAATAAATATTGTTATTAAATCTTTGAATAAGTAATAAGGTGCAAAAGGTATTCTATCGTAATAACTTGGAACACCTAAAGGATTACTTGCACCTGCAGATTCGTGAACTGCAATTAAATGAGCTAACACTAATGCAACTAGTATGAAAGGTAATAAATAATGTAAAGCAAAGAATCTATTTAAAGTTGCATTATTAACTGAGAAACCTCCTCATACAAATTCAACTATATCTTGTCCAATTCATGGTATAGCACTTATAAGATTAGTTATAACTGTAGCACCTCATAAACTCATTTGACCATAAGGTAAAACATACAAAAACTTACTTTTTAGTAGCGCGTAACACAGTGCTAGCTTGCGCTACAGCTATGTTACCATCGCTACTACGTAGTGGTTTCACTGCTGCTGCTTCTTATTTCATAGTAGCCAGCCAGCCAACCAGCCTACACAAAAGCTATAATATCTTTTATTTCGATTATTATATTTATCTAAAATCTAGATAAAAAGCGTCGACTGTACATTAAGCAACATTTCAGCCACCCACCAGTGACCCAGTCTGTAGCGATTATATGGATAACCGACGATCTCTTATATTTTACTATATTTTGATCGTTTTCACTAGCATTGCCAAAGAAATACTTATACTTCTTCAATGACCCCGTCGGGTCATTCTATAATAAAACTATATTTTTTTCCATAAATTACATTAGTTATAAAATTATAGGACTACGATTAACAACAAATAAAAATTATATTATAAACAACAACAACAAAACAACAATAATAGAAATTAGTACAATGTATATAGCATTACACATAAATAACTATTCAACGTTTTTTTAATAATTTACTAGAACTTTTTAAAGCCCTATATACTGTTTTAGCTGAACAATTTAAAGCTTCAGCTGTTTCAGTGATACTATTATATTCTCCATATACAATACCATTTAATTCCTTGACAATTATAGGCTTAGAATTTTTTGTGCTGCGCTGCTTTGCAGCGCAAGCTATGCTAAAGCTACTATTTAATAATGCTTCATCAGAGTATTGAAATTTTTCTCTATTTAATGCACTGTGTCTCATAGCTTCAATAGTTTCAGATGATAATTTCTTTCTGTGCGTTGCGCAAGCTATGCTACTATTTGGTTGCTTCGCCAAAAGCATTCCTATTACAAGATTTCTACGTTCTTCACAATACTCTGATTTCATTTTTATACGGCTAATTTCAGTATGTTTATATCCAAAACTAGACCCAGCTTCAGTTAAAATATTATAATCAGGTAGCAAAGATTTTAAATAAAAATCTTCTAAATTTAATAACTGCTTATTATTTTCTTGATTAACTATC